TCGGGTCGCGACCAGAGTCGCGGAACGAATTAAGTTCGTGACCCGAGGTACCACTGTACTTTTTCCACCCCAAAATAACCTTATGGGAAGGGAGAATCTAACTTGTCTGGAGTGACTAGTGAAGGAGCAGCTGTTGCAATGCTTGCCCTCTTCTCTATTGAATATTGTATTTGTACAGTGTCTGTTACACTGCAAGCTTGAGGCATGGACTACCCGATCAAGACAGTGTCATTTGGAGTATTTTGGGTGGTAATAATATTAATAATACAACAACACCAAAAAGGCAATTGATTTAAGTAACTAACTCTTATCTTTTCAGCTTCTTCAAGGAGGCTCTGAGCAGCTTCTGCGATCTTTACATCTCCATAAAGATTTATCTGCATATAGCTATATTGGTGCTGGAGTACAACCAAAGGTGAGGATCATATCTGCCTGCGAACAGTCATCTTTTCCTTTGTACTTTTAAACTGTTACATGGTCAACTATGCTATTTCTTATCAGTCTATATAGTTGGAATTCAGATTGTATTTATTCTCTAATATTAACTTTAATACATCCAGTACTTGGAAGTAATTTCAGTTGGTCAGTTTAAAGACTGCTGTAAAAATCTGTTACTCTACATTCTGGTATGCCTCCAATATTAGTTGGTCAACTATATCTTTAGTCAACTTTCCAGGGCATTCTGAGGAATCTTTTATCTGATTTCTTTTAGATAGAGGAATCGAAAGATAGATAATCTCATCCCAAGGCCACATTTTTAGTTGCAAAATTTTGTCTTCAAGGACTTATTGTGTAATTATAACTATGAATGTGGATTTGAATTAGATATGTAACAGTGCTCAGGATAGTATTGTATCTTATATTATCTTACTTGTATTATATAAAGTTATCTATTTTTATTTTGAATTCTATGTTGTGTTTTTTTTTGGTCCTTGACAACAACAACAAAAAAAAGTTCCCAAATTTGACCAGATTCGTTTAAAATTCTTCTTGTCAATTTCTTGGGGGAAAATAAAGTCTAATTCAAATGTTGACAGATCAGCCAGTAAGATACTTCCTGCTGAAATCTCTTGAAAAGTTTATGTGTTTTGCTATTGTGCCAGCCATCAGCTTTAGGTTGCCAACTGTATCTTCAACTCCTAATCAACATTTGTTTGTTTGCATGTTTGATCTTGGCTAGGAGGAAAGAATGATAAATTATAGTCCCTTTTGCAACTGTGATTTAGCTCCTTTTTTCTTCAACTCCTCCATCCCCCACCCCTGTTTTTTTATTTTCTCATTTTGATTCATTATGAATATGTATATTTTAATAGATCCATAAATGTTCTCTCTTTCTCTTGCTTTTCTTTTTCCTATCAATTAGTTCATGTAATATTTTTATTACTGCTACTATTACTAATAGTTTATTCTTTGTTTTGGCTGAAAGATGCCTTCAGCTTTCCCATGTAGAGACGGCTGCCTTATTTTTCCATACCTAAGATCGCACTGTTAGTGTTCAAGGTGAACATGCAGTGTTGTTGCTCATTAGTGACTTTGTTTCTTTTTTAGTGTGCCATTAATGACAGCGCTGACTTCAAAGCTGTTGCTGATGCAATGAAAGTGATTGGGTTTGGACCAGAGGAGGTTCAGACAGTGTACAAAATCCTTGCTGCCATTCTGCACTTGGTAAGTGGATCTCAGTGTTACTAGACATATGGAAAGAAATGTGTGTTGTAGAGTTATTTGAGAGACATCGGGGCAAGAGAGTAATGGTTATGTTTTGCATCTCTGCATACACATTTTCTGATGGTGAGGAGAGACTTTAGTTCTGTTAAAATGCATTAAAGACCACAGATATTCTGATTCCAGAAAGGATTACTTCTAAAGATAGGCAAGCTAATAGAATGAAGCAGGTTTCCATGGTAAAAAAAAAAAAAAAAGAAACCAATGCTCTCTAAAGGGAAATAATTGGATATGGCTCTTTTGTCAGTTTTAATAAGTAAGGTGTAACTTCCTCAGTAACGCTATCAGTAACACAGCGTATCAGGAGTTTGTTTCCTGGCAAGAAATGCTTTAGTAAAGATGGATATGGAATAGCCGTTATCCTAGTTTGGGGTGAATTAAGGAAATGGCCAGAGCTTTCAAGCAGATGGAAAGTCTGAGTTGTGTCTGATGCTGAAACTGTTGCAGAAATGAACAAGCTCTTTCTTCCATATTTCTCCAGGGCAACTTGAAATTTTCTGTGGATGGGGAAACACCAATGATTGAAAACAGCAAGCTAGTATCTGTCATTGCAGACCTGCTTTCAACTAAGGCTGATATGGTGGAGAAGGCCCTGCTTTTTCGAACTGTAGCTACTGGTCGTGACATCATTGATAAGCAACACACAGAGCAAGAAGCCACTTACGGCAAGAATGCATTTGCAAAGGTGAGTATAGATTCTATCCTATCAGTGTGAAGTCTGCCTTCTCTTTTTAGGTTTATTATATCTTCATGTTTAAGTGAAAGTTAATACGGTTGCTTCAAAAACTTCAAAAGTAGCCATTCAAATATCTCTGCGTATGTTATTAGCCAATATATTGGTCTGATTTGTCTGTCTATGTTTTTGTAGCTCATGGGTAGCCTATATAAGAAAGAAAAAAGGTATTTTCTCTCCAATTTTCAAAAATATTCTGCCTGTTGATCATCAGATGCCTTATACTTGTCACAAGAATTCAAAGTATTGTTTGAAGTTTGTCTGAACTGCTAGTTATCTTCAGAAGGCTAGTGAGAGGAGTTCTTGGGATTTATGAAGTCCTTGGGATTCCTGAAGTTTATGGATGATATAAAAGTCATACTTTGAGATAGTGTGAGATAAGCTATGAGAAGACAAGTATATTTTTCCCAGTGCAGGGAGATGGGAATGCACACACTTGTAGCTACATTTCAGTGAAACACATTGTATATCATTGGTGAAGTTAAGACATCAATGGAGAAAGAATCTGGAACTGACTGACTTGTTAGACAAATTAAATGTCCTGTACATTAGCCCATTGCAATTTTAATGATGCTACAACAAAAGAACTGTTTTGTTTACAGCATTTGTTTAAACCTCATAGGATTTTTGCTGCTGCAGTAGGTTAGAACTGGATGCTTCCCAATTTTCTTTTATAAGGCTATAGTGTGTAATGTAAAAATATAGGCTTACTAAATCTGAGTTCTAAACAAGGAAATAAAAATGATTGATGTATTTTGGTTTGTAGGCAATATATGAGCGTCTTTTCTGCTGGATTGTGATGCATATCAATGATGGGATTGCAGTGAAAGACCACAACAGCACAGTTCATGGCAAAAACACAGTCATTGGAGTCCTTGATATCTATGGCTTTGAGATCTTTGACAATAACAGGTGAAATGTCTTGAGACAGTCAAGCATACATTTGTTTACAGGAGGATTTAAGACATTATTTAATTTTTTTCCTTTTATAGTTTTGAACAATTCTGCATTAATTACTGCAATGAGAAGCTGCAACAACTCTTCATTCAACTTGTTTTGAAGCAAGAACAGGAGGAATACCAGAGAGAGGGGATTCCTTGGAAGCACGTGAGTAGATTTACAGAATCAGCTGAGAAACACTCAAAGTAATTAACCCCCACCCCCACCTCCCAGAATTAAAACAAGACTTAAAATGCGGTGTCAATTTAAAGACAAGATTGAAAAGATGCAATATACTTATTTAAAATATCAAATCGAAAGGTCACAACCACTAGAACACTAATTAATAAAGCCAGTAAAAGCCACGAAGGAAAAGACCGGGTTTTCATTTTATGCCTGAAACTGAGAATTGAAAACAGACAAATTTCACCCAGTTAAGAAGGTGAAGAAAATGGGAATGGTTTTCAAGAAAAAAATATTTCTGTATAACTGGATTTGAGGGAGGGGAAGAAGTGTAGAACTCCAAGGAAGACTTTTTAGCTATTATTATAGGCTAGGTTGGTCCATGCGGAAATAGTCTTTTAAATACTTTGATCCCAAGACAAGGGTTATAAGGATTGTAATCAGCATTCTGAGATATGCCTGGAAGCAGACTGATAACCAGTGCAGCTGGGATAGCAGTGGTATAATAGACTATGATCTTTGAGGACCAACCCTGCCCCCTGCAGCCATGTATTCATGGATATATATTCATGAATACAGAATGTTCCTGTATTCATCTGCCTGTCCACCAAATCAAATAGGATCAACTCCTTCCAGATCCCATCCCTATGGGATTGTTATCTAATGGGGCCTTGGAAGTGGGCATTTTCAGTAGCTGCCCATTTTCTTTGGACTCCCTCCTGGCAGAGGTTCAGTCAGCTTCATCCCTCTTGTGCTTTAGGAAAATTGCGAAGACCTATCTGTTCCATCTTGCACAGGAAGAGTGTGTGTTGTAATTGAAGGTGAGGTTCATGTGTGCATGTCATTTGTATTTTTTGGTTTTTATCTTTCTTGAGCTTTCATTTTTATATGTATTTGGAGTTTGGAAGCATTATTTTATATAGTATGTTGACATTGTTAGCCATGTAGAACCTTTAGAATGGACATAATACAAGCAAAATGAATAAATATTATGTACCACCTGTAACTTCTAAAAGGTTTTCAAGGAATGCCCCATGTAGAAAATATTATAATAGTCTAACCAAGAAAAGAATAGGGCATCTGTCACCCAGTTCAAGTCAGCATGCTCCAATAATGGTTATCATTAACCATTGTCAGGATGAGGAACATCCCCATATGATGATGTTGCTTCTTCAGAAGGACTGTTACTGCATCTAGCTTTGGTTAACAAGCAACATCTGGCTGATCCTTACCCTCATAGAAACATTCTAATTCAGGATGCCTATAGTTGCATAGACTGGAATAAAATATGTACCTGCATACTGATGATATCTTCCCCTAACTCTCTGGAGTACATTTCTCAATAGTTTCAGTATATATGAAAAAAATAGATCTTTGTGTGATGCCATGGGAATAATACAGATGACATCAAGCCAAAATTCCCAGTATTGCCTTCTGAGACTCACTTGTCAGGAAGATTTGAATTACTGTAAGATGGTGCCCTACAGACCTAGAGTATACCCACCAGGCAACTCAGGCCAATACCATAGTAAACTCAATAGAATCCAACCCAACAGAACCAGCAGGGGCATATTCACTCTTCCTAATTCTTGGCATGGATAATCACCAGAGCAATCAAGGCTACTTCAGAACTGATTTGGAGGCTTGAACCTGATCACAGTAGATCCAGACAATCTATTTTGTTTAGAAAACCTTTGCAATGCCGAAACAACTCTATGTGACCTTATGCCAAAAAGGAGATTGGAGACAAATTAGTAAATATTCACCTCTTAGAATCAAAGCAGCAATTGCTTATTTCAGGCAGGACAAAAATATAATTACTGCCCATGTATTTAATAATTGATCCCAAGATTCTGAGTCTGCACTCAAGGCTTTGGAGGGTTCAAGGGTTTGTACCTCTAATGCTATTGGTATAAAGTACAAAAAAGGGGTAAGACTTGGAATATACACGTTTCCCATCTCGACCACAGAGAATTCTGTACCAGTACTTTTTATTCTTCAGATGTCTCTAGTTTTAGAAAGTAGTTTCAAAACTTTGCTATAGAATTTGAACAGTTTAGCTTAAATTGTTATATGAAAAGGAAATGAGCAGGTATCAGTTTAAGTTTCCTTCAGATGTAGTTGCCTTTTAAAAGTATTGCATTAGACAACTGCATCTGAAGGAAACTTAAACTGATACCTGCTCATTTCCTTTTCATATTATTGATTCTTACAGCGCAGTGCACTTTTTCTTGTGGAACTCTCATTAATGCCTGTACTCAATATTCTGTAGATTGACTACTTCAACAACCAGATCATTGTTGATCTTGTGGAGCAGCAACATAAGGGGATCATAGCCAATTTGGATGACGCGTGCATGAATGTTGGAAGAGTCACTGATGAGATGTTCCTGGAGGCTCTTAACAAGAAGTTGGGCAAGCATGCTCATTTTTCCAGCAGAAAGGTACTTTTTGTCTAAGTTGGCATTATTGGTAATTCTGTCACCAGACTAATTTAAGCAATGTTATACTTAATAAGCATAGAAAAAAATTATCTTGTCCTTCCTTAATAGAAACAGTTCAGTTTACACAAAATGGTCATCTAGGTTGATTTTATACCACTGCTTCTAATCATATGCCAAGGAATTTTGCAAAGCATGTTTTTCAGAGTTTATGACTAATGGATTTTTTTTTTCCTTAAAGCATTTTACTCTATTTTTCAGCTGAAAAGGCTCTAAGAATAGTGTACAAAGATAAAAAATGAGATAATCTTTGTCTGTAGATTCACAATTTAAATTGCAGTCTCTAAAAGACATCATACAAAAATAAAAGGGATTAGAAGGGAAGATTATAAAAACAAATCCACACAATATTTTCTTCATTATCAAGCTGAGCAACTCACCAATAACAATTACTTGAAACTGATTATATGGAAATGATCCAGGGAGACAGATATTCAGATTAAGTAACTGTTTTGACAATTATCTACAGCAATCTTAAAGCAGCACAATTACCTTCACTTTCCCATTAGTCCTTCCAACTGTAGCCTAAACTGCATGATGAGAGGCATCAGTGAGGAAGGATATACTACATGAATGAGTGAATTTCTTATTATATTAAGGAGAGAAAATCTGAAGACTGCTTTCTTTCTCTCTGATGGGCTGAGAGTTGTAGGAGTAGGAGTTGTAGCAGTATGGAAGAAAGCTCTTAACTAGAGCTGTAGCCTAGCCCAATGCTGCCTCTTCTCCCTTCCCCTCTTCATGGTGTCTGGTTCAATGCACATTTAATCCCATTGGGGCTTTAAGAAGTAGAACTTGCTTTTTAAATGCCAGGCTATAAACCTGTAGGTGTTAGGTTGGGTTGAAAATACATGGGTTTTCAGTGTACCCCATTCCATCCATATGTAGATCTGACTGATGATTTTGGGCTCAAACTCAGCTATAGCATTTGTTGGTTTGAAGCCTGTTATAGTTATGGTGATGCCGGTTGGAGGAAGGAACCAGTTGGCACTTATGGAATTTGGAGCCAAGATTCACAGATTGAGCCATAAAAAATTTAGGAGCCTATGGTTTGAAGTACTGCTCTGCACTGTGAATAAACTTTAAAGCTGTTTCCAACGAAAAAAAACCTCTTAATATCCAGCAGAGGGAGCCATAGACTTTTCAATGTTAAAGAGAAAAACAGGAGCATGACGTTGGCTAGACAGTGATGTCATTTAGAACCAATAGGAGCCCAGTTTAAATTCATGTGACATTTCCTAAGCAAGTAACAGCTGAGAGTATGGATTATATCGGTTTTTGATATCAGAATGATGACATCACATTCTCTATAAAGTAAAGAGATACCTTTCAATTTAACAATACCTTTATTAGAATCAAAGATAATGTCACAAAATAATAGCAAGTTCTTAGAACTGTTCAAAAGGCTAGTTGTTAAGCAAAACACTGGGGGAGGGGGGATTAAGAGAAATAGCTAGCTTTGCTGAATCCACAAGGTATACATTTGGACACATCCATAAAATAGAGTGTGAGATATAATTGCTGACTTAAATGGATTATTTATGTGCTACTGGATGCTACATAGATTTCAGGTTGTATCTAAGGTTGTTGAGATACTAAGAACAGTTAATAATCCATTTTTGAAAGTATACCATTTAGCAGTTAACAGGATCTATCTTCTAAGTGACATGCACAAATTAAACACTTGTCATTATTAACAAATTTAAAGTGATGTCATTTTTACATTCAGAAATAGTAAACTTCTGTGTATATTGGTATAGCTTGGGGAGAGCATAGCAAAGTCATAGTTTTACCCATTGTTTAGTTGTTTTATAAACACAGAAAGCCACTGGAAGAGTTTTAAATCCACGTAATAATAATAATAATCTAATTCAGTAGCACTTTTTAAGCAATAAAACTATGATGAAATCCTTCATGATAAGACAACTTCCCAACATGTAGGACAAATTTTCTTAACACGTATGAAAGACAAATTTGCTAAGATTGTCTCTGAATTTAACACAATAGAATTACAATATTAAACTTATTTCAAAACAAAAAGCTCAAGCAAATGTAAAATAGGAGCTTCATGGCAGTGGTGAATTGTTTCCCTCCGTTCCTGTGAAGTATGTGTGAAAATAACCTTTTGAAAGAAGCTGTAATATGTTTGATCAGTTTGGAAATCATCATAATTATTATCAAAATCATACTGGACTTTATGTTCTTCTACTCCTCTCTTCTAACATGCCTGAAATCTGAGATTTTTATTTCTGTTTTTTCATTAATTGTAATTTGGTGCTTTATCTGAATCTGACAGACTGGTTGGATACATTCAAACTATATATGATGAAGTTAGCTTGCTTTAAAAAAAACTGTAAAAATTAATCACAGTTTTAAATAAGATAGCAAACTAAGGTTAGTGAAAACAGACATGAAAGCATCTGATCTCCTTTTTGTGCCTGTGCTGGAGGAAAAGGGAGGGAGGTACTGTTCATTCTTGCTACAATAAACAATGGTTTGTCATGCTATACAAATCAGATCAGTATACAACTCAACTACTCTCATTGTTAAAATTAAACTAAATGAAGGCAATATTGTTCAGGCTGGAATACAGTTGAAGATGATTTAACAAGCACTATCATGCAATTAAAATAAATTTGTTGATTGATTATTGAATTTAGTATACAAATGCATAACATTGTGCAGAAAATCATCTTCTGAATTAATACTTCTGTATTAAGAAGTATGTCCTGCTTTCAATGAAATCTGCATGATGGTGGTTTTGCAGCAAACTCATTTGGAATTACAGATCAAGCTTGTCTCCTTACTTTTCCAATAATTGGAATTCATGGTTTTAATAATTTCCATTTTTCATACATCTGCAAATGAGTCTTTGAATTAAAGTGCAGCTTGTATCTTCTTTTCATTTCTATGGATGTAGGAATCCTACTTCTTCCATGCATTTCACAATATATTCAGAGATTTGTATTTTTAAATGCAAATTCCTTGCCTCTATCATTGCTGCATCAGTATTTCTAAAAGTAAAACTGAATGGAGAGTCAGACTGGTTTATTCTTACAGTTTTATTATTTCCATGCCTCAAAGCAAAATCAAACTGAGGTTGCATTCCTCAGGTATCTTAATACCTTACCTAAAGCAGTAATGGAGATGTTGAGAAGGGTATTTCTGAAGATCACGAAGGGCCATATGCTAATACATTATAAGAATAGTGAACTCCCAGCTTCACAGTTAATATTTTAATGCTTTCCTGTGAAGCATATTGAATTTTACACTGGGAAACATAAGTTTTGAGGAACTGTGTCCTGCATAGTAATATCTTACTTTTACAGACTTCAGAGCTAATGTGCTGTTAACAGCTGGCTTTTTTTTCTTATGGTAAAATTAGTATAGCACAGGAAAATGTTTTTACTTTGGATAGAGTCCCAAAAGGGGTGTTGTGGGGTCAAGTAGCATGTAGGCCACAGGTTACATATCTATGGCACAGGAAAAGAGTTTCAGTGAAAATATACATATCATTTCTGAGGAAGATTGAATTACATTCCATTATCTCAATTCTGTATGAATTGATATACTTACTGATGTGTGCATATAAAATGTTTGATACTCTTTTTGTATTTAGTTTACTAGGTTTTTTTTTAATGAAAAAGGCCCTTTGTAAATGTCATGTTAATTTGTAGCAGTGCCATTCAAGTTTCCCATGTGTTTGATTATGACATTTTGCAAATGAAAAAAATGCAGTCAGTCTAGGAGTTTCTACTGATACAAGGAAGACGTATCACTAAGTCTTAAAGAAAAATATTGTCTTGTCTTAGCGACAGCTTGTATAACAGCAGTGTTAGGAAAGAAGCATTTCATGACTAGATGCAGCAATAATTAGACTTCACTCAGATCTGTAAATGAAAAACTGCTGAAAGTTACCAGCAATTGCATTTCAATAATTAATTTTTAATCCATTTGTTTTTAAGCTTTGTGCCACAGATAAAAACCTGGAATTTGATAGAGACTTTCGGATTAAACACTATGCTGGAGATGTTATGTAAGTTTGGTTCCCATATTTGCTATCCTAATTCCTATTAAAACATTTTAATGCATAGTTGCATCATTACAGTTGCACTTTGTTTTTCCCTCTGTACTTCCTTTTACTTTTTTCCAGTTTAGGAAAACATCTAAAATATTTTCATTTTTATATCCAATGATTGGTGTAGTGTATATGCTATACTGTACTATAAAAATCTAGACACCGTATTGAGAACACCTGCTCCATTTTCTGCTGTTCCATGGATGATGGTATTTTATTCTCCTCCTACTACTACTCTCTTTTCTCCAGAAGCTCAAGATAGGTTAAACCCTATCCCTTTTTCAACCCTGTGAGGTAGATTGGGCTGAAAATGAGAGTAACTGACCCAAAACAGACAGTTTCTGTGATCTGGGTCTCCTCAGTCCTAGCAATACACCTTAATTGCTACGGTATTCTTCTAAAACAGTTATCAATGAGTTTTTGTAGGGTTGTGGAAAGATAGGACATAGATTATTGGGAGCATATGTGATTTGAAAGTCCAAAGTTCTACTTCCCAGTATTTCCAGTTTAAGAATTGGAAGAAAACTCTGCTGAGACCTTAGAACACTATTGATGGAGTTGATAATGCTAACAAATAATATAATACAATAAATAATCCTTAGTAATACAGAAGATTGTTCTAGTGGTATAGCTTTATCCTAGGAAAACACAAATAAAATAAAAATATGCCTCTCTCCCACTCCTCAATTTAAATATATACTATGGAGTTAAGGTAAATAAAAGGCATGATGATAAATATGGAACAGGAGAAGAATAGAAGCACATCTCTCCCATCCTCCAAAGCAGCATAAACAGTTATTTCAACTAAAACAGCAGCTTTATGGGGTGGCACAATTCAAGGAACACTTGATTTTTAATTTTATTTTTTTGTTGTACTAAACAAGTTTTTCTAACCTTCTTTAAAATCTGAAACCATTAATTGGGTAATACAGGATACTCCAATTCTCTATTCCAAATTTCTTGCATATTGCACAAATTTATTTTTCATTTTTAAAAATGATTTGGTAATACTACATTGTCAGTTTAGTTGCAGGAAAGACTTTAGTTTTTTTATGAAGTACAGGTGATCAATAAAAAACTGATGGGGCTAAAAGAAAAGTTATTATGTGACCCTTTTTGATGTTAAGGCAAGGGCTTGGTTTTATGTTTAGGTAAAATTGTATTGTGTTTCCTGTATTAAGGCATGCAAGACATATTTGGAAAATGTTAGGGCAGAGGTATAATTTTGACACTTCTTCCCATGATCAGCTAAAACTTTTTCACATGTCATACATAATTAAGAGAGATAAATACTTAAAATCAACTTATTGCCAGTCAAGTCCCCAAGCCATTTAATCACTGCAGGGGAAAGTTGGATTGCCTAAAATTGCAAAATGTTATTGTATACAACTAAAATTATCTCTTGATTCTGCGGTTTGGTCCAGCTGCATTACCAGTATCTAAAACCCCTGAAGATGATACTGATGATGAAGAGGAGTATTTACTGTCCTTTGACTTAAAGTATTGAACAGCTGTACAATATCTCTGAAGGAAGAACCTTTAAAATCTATTTTTTCTTAGCACTGTGTTTTGAATATTATCAATTTTTATGAGACTATTTAGATTTTGTTGGTTTCTATGTATGGATTTTTTTTCTGGTGTTCAGAGTCCAGGTATTTTGTCTCCAGTAGTTCAGTGCAACTCATTACCTCTTTTTCACATTTACCAGTTATTCAGTCATTGGATTCATTGATAAAAATAAGGACACTTTATTTCAAGATTTCAAGCGTTTGATGTATAACAGGTAGGAATAACTTTAACTATCCATTTTAGTTACTTTACCCAGAGCAGGCCAAATATTACTGAGTATTGCTGCCTTTTTATTCTTCCTTGTTTTTTGTAGTTCCAACCCTGTGCTGAAAAAGATGTGGCCAGAAGGTAAACTGAGTATAACAGAAGTGACCAAGCGACCACTGACTGCTGCTACGCTTTTTAAGAACTCAATGATTGCCTTAGTGGACAACTTGGCATCCAAGGTAAGAAGTTCCTATCTCCGTAAAGACTAGCTTTGACAACTACCTATTATTTACTTGCTGTTGCTACTTGTCAAGTCACTCTTGCTGTGACCCTATCAGCAGCAAAATCAATGTAAGATTTCAATAGTACATTTTGTGATCAGAATATTAAAGAGTGCTTACAGCATTCATCTTTCTTCTGGCATTGGGGCATGTTCCTATCTAATCCTGTTTTCCACTTGTGAAGACTGTGACTCTTCTGGGATTTTAAACCAGGCCTGATTTCTATAGAGCTTTAATGCCTAAGAGATGTGTGTAAAATGGGATGGGCAGTATGATTGCATGTAGCCTCCAACGTAATTTTTGGGGTCCCAAATCTCTTCAAAATTATACTGATGACATTATGTAGCAAAATACTGGTATCTGAAGCATAATTGTGTGTGCTTTTCATTAAAAAATAGAGGGAAAATAGGTCTGTTAAGCTTTGTAGGTCAAATAAAAAGTTTGGCCCCAACTGCAAGCCTCAGAAGCCTTTTTTTAAGTAAAGTGCAATTCCAGATCTCAAAATGGTTGACTGTCCCTGGTCTATAGCTTGAAAATGATTCTCAGCTAGAAGCATTATTGCTTAAACCAAGGTGAATGGGGAAACCTGAAGCTCTCTAGAAGTTTCTGAACTACAACACATAGCATCTCTCTCCATTAATCATGCTAGTTGCCGTTGCTGGGAATTAGAATTCATCAACATCTGGACAATCACAGGTTCTTTATACTTGATCTAGAATATTGTAGGGTTGGTTGAGGATATTCCAACGAGAATTAAATATATTTAGAGATATTGCATTATTCGTTGTTTAATACATTCCAAGGCTGAATAATGGTAATAAGGATACATCTGAGCATTGCCTGTAGTGAATAGTATTGTTTCTGTCAGGCCTAGCCCAAAGAACTCCTGGAGACCATGCAGGTTCAATCAGCAAG